ATCTTTATATTATAGACGCAATTATCCTACGCTTGTCGATTTACAGGCAAGGAACTTAATTTTAAACGGCATAATTATATAACCTTAATATCGCATATCTGCTATTAGTTAAAGCCCTTTATAACTTACGCAGTGCTACTAGTTTTTCTATTACTTATTTTCTTGGTAATCATTAAGCTAGGCGAGAAATAACGTGTTAATACAATACTAATCTTGTACCTTATTGGCTTTAATTTCGGACAGCTATTATTCTTCGCTATATAATAGTAATATATAGTAATATTATATAGTATATCATACTTTATTTATTTATTTATTTATTTACAACATAACACTCACCCGTGACGATATTTCCTGGTGGCAGCTCGCTGGGTGACTGACGCTGCATGGTATATATACTACGCTGGATATTGACGCGAACTAGAAATCATCGCAGAGTAAACTAGGCTTTAGATTATCATGTTAGGGATAAGACTAGTTAGACAGGAATGGGTGCAGGCGCCCCACTCGTGCGAGAGCGACGGGGAGGAAAAAACCAGGACAGGACGTTACGGAGTAATCGGGAGAGACAACAGTTTTTCTCCACAGATGCCGATTTTGCTTGTCGACAATAATTCAAACTATCGTTACTAATGTTGCGGGCGGTCCTGGCTGAAGTGCAAGAGAATTAACAAGAAACGATAGTCCAATGGAATACCTGAGACTCCCGCCATGCGCCAACATCTATCACTCTGGTCCCACCCCACGCCCATCTCAACACCCGCCGACTTGTCGATTCGCGCCCAGGTAACGAAAAAAATTGTCCCGCGGCAATAATATGTTCCGACGCTCCACGTCGAGATTGGAAATGTCGGCCATCGATAATTAACTGGGCCTTGGTGATATATCCCTACATCGGCAAACCCTGGCTGGAGAATCCGCGTGCGTATGCTGGATGCATCTATATATATATATATATTACTATATTATATTAGAGAGAGAAGAGAGAGAGAGAGAGAGAGAAGAGATGAAGAGAGAGAGAGAGAGAGAGAGAGAGAGAGAGAGAGCAGTAGCGAGAGAGGAAGTTGGGGGCTAGACACGCGAGCGTCTCCAGGCGGAAGCGTATAGATAACACGGTGTGTTGGATGCGCGTGCTGGGAGATTGTGATTTTTGTACATCGACTCAGCCGATCCATCTGTGGGCATCCGACCAAAATCCGGTCGTTAGTTTGAGAATCCAGGGACATAACCTCATAGCAAATAGCATTCGTGATATATATATATTTATAGATTTATTTATGTGCAAGTGTGCATAGCGTGCAGCGGCGCAGCAGCGTAGCAGCGTGCATTCGGTGGGCGTGTGTTTGCTGTCGTTGGAGCATTTGCAGCACGGCTTGTCGGCAATAATACTAGGTAAAGGAGAGTAGAAAAACCTTAAGACTTTGGTAGGAAATAGATTTCGTATTTATTTAGCATTATATTTTATTGAAACGCTCCAAGTGCCTGTGGTCAGCGGGCTGCCGCGTGTTCCGCGTCAGAATCAATATAGACGTTGGCGCGTCCGCCACGCTCATCCCTCGACAAAGAAAAAGCTTATCGGCACACACACAGTTCACGCGTGCATTTTCCCCATTTACGCATTAGCAGCTCTGGCCAGCGGGGAAGAAAACGCGAACAGCGACTTCTGCCCCGAAGGGCATCTTGTTAGCATCTCACCTCACTTCGTAGCTGAATGTGCAATATAGGTCAGATTAGGGGGCGCGATTTTAGTTGGCGTACTACCAGCACAACTCAGGCGTTCGATCGGTGTTTCGGTCAAGGCAATCGTATAGCGTTGGGATAACAAGCGTTGGATGAAGAGCAGTTAGATAATATGCATCGTAGCATTTTACAGTTTTTATTTCTGAAACGAAAACTCTAGAGCTGATTATTATAAAGTGTGACATTTTTTTCCCTAAGTGCTGTATATTATATTTATATTGGCCTGAGTTACATGGTATGTCGTGTTGATTTAACTGTCATGCTGCGATGGTGTCTATACATTTACCCGAGCATCGGAAGTGCGTTCAGACAAGCTATGATATCACTAGAAATCACCCGTCGTGTATTTTTTGGGTAGATATTTCGCGACCTCTATCCACACCCCGTCACATCCTCTCCCCTTCGTCCATCCACCTCCTTTAATTTCTTCCTTCTTCCACCCACTCCACCTTCTCCCTTCCTATACCTCCTTTAATTTCTTTCTTCACTCACATACTCCATGCACCTTCTCCCATCATATACCTGCTGTGCCATCTCCTTTTTTGCCCTCTCTCTTCTGCCTTCTGCCTCCTCCTAACGTTTAATTTTCCCACCCCATTAGTCGTACTCTGCTTTAAATCGGGCGACTAAATCGGGCGACTAAATTGCCGTGAAATCGCCTAGTGTGTCTACTCAATCGCCGCCGATTTAGTCGGCCGATTTTGTCGCCCGATTTAATCGCCTAGCGTGTCCGGGGCGCGAAATTTTTTTGGTATTCATTTTACATTGTTGCTTCGAGGAAGTCGAGTGAATGGAGTGCGCTGATTGGCTGTGGTCCGGAACTCAAGTGCGAAAAAAAATTTCGCACTTGATTGTACAATTCATCAGCCAATCAGAGTTGTTCAATGATACTGACGTAATAGCGATGTTTCATGTTTAGTATGTTATGTCAGGTGGTATTCATTTTACATTGTTGCTTCGAGGAAGTCGAGTGAATGGAGTGCGCTGATTGGCTGTGGTCCGGAACTCAAGTGGGGAAAAAAAATTCGCGTCCTGGGCCGGCGATAAAATCGCCCGATTGTACAATTCATCAGCCAATCAGAGTTGTTCAATGATACTGACGTAATAGCGATGTTTCATGTTTAGTATGTCATGTCATGTAATAGCGATGCACGCACGTGTACGTGCACACGCACGCACGCACGTGTACGTGCACACGCACGCACGCACGTCTACGTGCACATGCATGCACGCACGCCCGCACGTGTACCTGCACACACACGCACGTACGCACGCACGCACACATGCACACACGTGTACCTGCACACGCACACACGCACACACGCACGTAGGCACGTACGCACGCACGCATGCACGCAGATGAACGTGCACACTGACACAGGCACGTACGCACGCACGCATGCACGCAGGTAAACGTGCACACGCACGCACGCACGCACACACGCACGCAGGCACGCACGTGTACGTTCACACGCACGCACGCACGCGCGCACGCACGCATGTGTACGTGCACACGCACACATGCACGCACGTGTACGCACGCACGTATACGTGCACACACGCACGCACACACGCACGCATGCACGCACGTTTACATACACACGCACGCACGCATGAATGCACGCAGGTGTACGTGCACACGCACGCACGCACGTCTACGTGCACATGCATGCACGCACTATTCACCGGCCCGATTTAATCGCCTAGTGTGTCCACTCGACTCGCGCGATAGAATCGGGCGTTTTAGTCGCCCGATTTAGTCGCCCGATTTAATCGCCTAGTGTGTCCGGCCCTTTAGTGTATCAGGCCCTTGCTCTACCTTCTCCCATTGTTGAATTTTAACGCTTTTTTTGTCGCTATTTTAACAGTATAATTTCAACAAAATGTTATTTTATGTACATACAGCCCTGTCTGTCATCTAGCCCACACATCGCCATCTATTAAAATTCCATTCGTGTTACTTCTACGAGGGCATCCTAAAATTAAAAGAGAGGCATATGGATGCATTTTCCATGTCAAACCATTAGAGGATCATTTGATCTCCATTATAAAAGTATAATTTCAACAAAATATTATTTAACAGGAAGCCAATATGCCACAGGAAGATTTGCGACGAGTAGGCACCTTGTGATTAAAAGGATCGTGTATCACGTAGGGCACATGTCGCACATATTGGCTGAATAAACTTCATTAGCGTTACGTCAGCTATAGAGCCCGCTATCATTATGATAGAGAATTATCGGCGTTTATTCTTCATATCAATCCAGATGAGACGGGATACTAGAGAAGCGTTGCCGAAAGAAGGTGTTGATCCCAAGCGCTATAAGCGCAGATCTGACCCCCCCTGCTCGTGCAGAAAACGCATCTAAGAGGGTCTAATTTCAAAAAAGTTTTGGGGGAGGGCCACCAGACCCCCCCCTTCGCGTGCTCGCAACTTTCGGTTACGGTTAGACCTCCCCTGGTACATATCCTGTACACGTCCCTGAATATTATTTTATTTCAGAGATATTGAGCATGCACGTATGAAGGTATCTAGCGATGTTACAGGGAAATTTTATACGACTAGGCATCTTGTGATTGTTCTCTAGATTAAACATTTAATTTTAACAAAGTAATATTTCACATATTTACCAAAGGCTGCTGAACATGCAGCTCATGTATGTTACGAGGCACATATATCCCATGCCTATCGGCTGTTTGAATTATTTTAGTGTTACGTCCGATAGGGCTCCCTGTCATTATTAAAGAGAAGCATCGGGGTTTATTCTTCATATCAAGCTAGTGCAAATATTATTTTCTCAACATTTCAAACGCATAATTTTAGCATAATATAACTTTATTTCGGAGATACTGAGAATGCGTGAAGACACGTCTCCCGCGATGTTACAGGAAAGTTTGATATGACTAGACACTTTTGGATTATAAAAGTAACTGATGAGTATAATATCTCTAAATTAAAAGTATTGTTTCAACAAAATACGATTTCTTTCGTTTGAGAAAAGTTGAACAAACTGCGGCATATATTACGTAGGGCACATATCGCTAAATATTAGCTGAATTAATTTTATTTGTATAGTTTTAGCTAGGGTTCTCTATCCTTATAGAAGAAAAGACTTCGGAATTATTTTCCATGTCAAGTTGGGGCCAGGCGTATCTCATCTCTATTTTAAACTATTGTTAAAAATATTCCGCCAACAGATGTCGCTGCCGACCCGAATCGTGTAAAGGCAAAGCAGCAGGCAGCAGAGCCGATGTGAGCGCACACCAGACGTGTGTATAGAGGTGGCGGTACACAACCACGTAATCACGGGCTACTTGAGAACTCATCATCATGTTTTTTACGTCCGTGAGCGCCGTCGGTATGCGCGCTCGCGGAACCAGCTGCTAGATGGGCGCGCAGTCGTCGTGTGCCACACAGCGTACACAGCCGTTGGCGTGTCTCCGGTGGCCGTCTAGCTCGCAGGGCGTGCGTGGGAGAGCATCTAGCGGGAGTCACGCTCCCGTGTGTTGTTGTTAAGTCGACGCATCGCCACCACACCTGTGTTTTTGCGAGAGTCTGTCGCTGACAGACGCTGCCGCTGTTGTCGTCATCGTTCGTTAGCGACGCAGACGAGATTCAGAGAGTGTTGTTTACGCGAGCCGATATCGTTTAACTCGTCAGAGCCGTGCCTGACACGAAGCGCAGCACGGTGGCATGCTGTAGCGGACTAACGACGGAAGCCGAGACACGAGTCGTACACGCATTTTAGTTATCGGTAAGCGTGTTTGCTACTTGTCTTTGCGTGCGGGAATGTACGCTACTGTCTACATACTCTGATCGTCTTCTACGAGACTGATTATGTATATATACCGGTATATATATATGTATATGTGTGTGTGTGTGTGTGTGTGTGTGTGTGTGTGTGTGT